TTTGACCTACTGACATTTAGCGAATTTCCCATACAGGGAATAAGCTATTACCGTAGTACTCATGGTAAGACCTGGACCCGGGACCAATTTTATTTTGCATTTTGAGGCCCCTAGAGACCAAAAACACCATCCGTTCAAATTCATATATATATATATGTCCGTTAGCGCGATAGGCCTAACTTGAGCACTTGGTACAAACTAAAACTACGTTTATTCTAACGAGTTTGCAAACCAGCATAATCGGACCATGGGAACGGGGGTTTATGGGGGGTTTTATGGGGTAAAAATGAGGTTTTCCCATTTTGACCCTAAAAACCAAAAAATGTGCAATTTCTTTTTAAACAGTTTTGTAGAGCTTAAAAAAAGAAATAATTTAGTATGTTGAAGTGCTGTTGTATGCCTAATGGTCACAGAGAAAATTCAAAAATAGTGTAATTTAAAATTCCCATGTTATTTTTATGGATAAAATAAAAACTGTTGTAGTTTACTTGTTTATGGATATATAATATATTGATAAAATTTGGCAAATTTATTTATTTCATCTTTTAGTATTGACGTATGGTCAAAAAACACTTTTTACCTTCCCCGTAGCAGCAAACCAAAGCACTCGTTAAATCTAATGTTTTTTAAATTGGGAACAAATTTTATGTCTTATTTATGGAAATATTTGAGTAAAAATGTAATCAGACAAGTTGAAATTAGCTTAGTCTGCAGGTTTGCTGCGGCGGGGATATTGTTTAAATATGCTGTATCTGCAAAGCAAACTGATATTCATGTTTTAAACTACCTTTTTTAACGATTTAGGTTCACTAAAATTGTAAACTTCATTTATTAGATTATAAAAAAAACTTAAAATGTTAACTTGAAACAGTTAACAGTATTAAAGTAAGTTAGAATCATAAGCTCATTAAATACAAATATTTTTGTTTGTTAACAAATCCACCAACCCCAATACCCTTTTTTTAAACTATAGGGGAGACTGGAGAGTACAAACAGTTAACCCATGCACGGCTATATGTGGCTCAACAAACATTGTGATGCAATTGACAACTCAGCAGTTAAACAGTTAAACAACAATGCAGCCTTTGTCAAACCTTCAGAGTCCAAGAAAAATATCAACAAAGTTACAAATGTGATTCATCAACATTGACTGATCCAACAATTACCGTAGTGCTAGTTAAATCTACAGATCTGGTTTTATGGTTACACATGGTTTGGTTTGAATGTTGAAAATTACGTTTTCCACGTTTTGCTTTTTGAGTTAGCAAAAGAATTTGTCTAACCTTCTATCGGGACGCATCACGGATGTTACCTCTGGGTCACTACATTTTTTGTTATAAAAACTATTGTTTTTGTTTGGCAGGTTTGTCTCCTGCCTTACCTTTTGCGGAAACGGTTTTGGCTACTCTTACCCCTTTCCCAGTTGTCAGTCGACCTTGGGGAGTGTTCCAGTAAAACAGCAGCGCCCTGTGATGTAACGGGTTTCCCGGAGCCTAGTTCCGTGTGTGCCCGGTTGTGTTAGAGCTTATTTTGCTATATTATCAAATGGATGAAGAAGAACGAATTGCGTGATTGTTGGCTAGTGTTGAAAGAAAAAGAAATAATTTAGTATATTGAAGCGCTGATGTATGCCTAACAGTCACAGAGAAAATTCAAAAATAGTTTAATTGAAAATTCCCATGTTATTCTTATGGAGAAAATAACAATTCCTATGCTCAGTGGCACTAATCAGGGTGTCCACAAAAAATGTGTCATTAATTTCCATGACTTTCCATGACTATCCATGACCATTTACCATTGATTTCCATGACTCACAAACTTTACCCGCAAATTTAAATATAACATACACACACAAATAATACTGCCTGGACATGTTATTTTGCAGAAAATACTGAAATATGTAATAACAGTTAACAATGGAGTACAATAGGTACAACAATGAACTAAAACAAACCGAAAACTCATAAAATAATACAACTGTAATAAATTGAATTGTCGAACATTTGTGAAAAATCCTGAAAAATGCTACAACAGTCCGGGTTACGGCTGACTAGAGCATTGAATGGTCCCCTCAAATCCATCCATAATTGAAAATTTCCATGACTTTCCATGACTTCTTGCCTATTTCCCTGACTTTCAATGACCAAAATTTTTTTCCATGACTTTCCATGACTATCCCTGACTTTCCAGAATGTGGACACCCTGCTAATAATTGGAATTACCGCTTTGTTTTATTGGTTAGTTCTTTTCTTGGATTCTTTTTCTAGAACCCTATCTATAAGAAGGGTGACCACCAGAGGCTTGTTAGCTATCGGCCCATCTCTATAACACCTGTCTTCGGAAAGTTGGTTTAAGCCACCATAAAACCTCAGCTTGAAGCATTTTTTGAGGGACTTAACCTCTTCTCGAACATGCAGTTTGGCTTCCATAAGGGCAGGTCAACCGTTGATGCTGTTGCGAAAGTTGCTGCAAGCGTGGAAAATGCATTTGAAAATCATCAAGCTCTCTCTCTGACTCTCTGTGATATCAGTAGAGTGTTTGATTTTGTCTCCCACCCCATCTTGAAAAGGAATCCACTTCTATGGGATCAGGGATGCCGCTCTTGCCATCCTAACTACTTACCTCGAACGACGCTTACCTCGAACGACACTCGCAGGTCGTTCCAGTTGGTGGAGCTGTCTCCGGCACTCTGCCCATTGATTTTGGTGTTTCCCAGGGTTCAGTGTTTGGGCCTACCCTTTTTCTCATCATGATAATTGATCTTGACGACCTTGGAAATACCCTCATGTTTGCGGACAACACTTCTCTCCTGTCAGCTGGTACGAACATCGATCAAGCTTTAGTCATCTCCAGACAGCGTCTTGAAGATACAACTGCCTGGTTTTTGGCAAACCGTTTTCAACAAAAGGAGGATAAGACATAGCACATCATCTGCAGCCATTCCAGAGATCAGCCTGGTGTTCAGGATCCAGTAAAATTGCTTAGATTTGTTCTTGATGGGAAGTTCAGCTGGACACATCACATAGACCAGACGACCAACAGACTCTCTCAGATCTGTTTCCTCCTCTTAAAACTAAAATTCTGCGTAATGGAGGTGATTGTGTACCATGCCCTCTTTCACTGCCATGTCAGCTATGGCCTTCTTCTCTGGGGACACTCACCAAAGGTTGTTGAAGTGCTTAAGCTCCAGAAGCGTGCAGTAAGGATTATTACTGGGAGTGAGTATTGTGCTCATTGCAAACCTCTTTTTGCACGACTTGGTTTGCTTACTGTAGTTGGCCACTACATACTTCTCTGTCTGGTGCATGTTAGGGCCAATATAGGCTAACAACCTTCATCACTCATGATGACGTCCACCAGCACAACACCAGGCAGCGCCATCAGCTTGATTTACCCAGGGTGCGATTATCTAGGAATTTAGTTACAGTGTGTCAGCTATAAGTCTGTAATAAGCTGCCACGACATAATATCCAGTTTTTGGACTTAAAAACATTTGAGGCAGTGTCCATGTGCAGGCCCGAGGAGCGGCCCACAAAAAAAAAACAAACAAAGTGAGAACCATGGATGGAGGTTCAATAACAACGCACTATCTAAGAGAAACAAGCTGTAATTAACCAATTAAATAAACAACAACAAACATTAACAACAATACATGAATTACCTTTAAAAAAACTTTAAATAATTTAGCTGGGTATCTAGCCTACTAACTTACAAGCATTTCTTTAATCATCAAAATAGGCTAATTTATAGATAAGATTTTACTAGGCTAGCTATTACTTTTCAAAAATTCCTTTTTAAACTAACAAATAAATAACGATTTCATCAAGAGCCGGGCCTATTACGACATCTCAGAGTATCTAAGAGATGACTTAAGAAACCTGTAAGTTAGCCTGCCGAAAGTACTATAAATAGTTGTAAATATTGTTTTTCGATTGGTAACCGTGTTAAGTGACGCTATCAATACCACATTGTGGGTAAAAGAGGAAGAAGGAGGTATAAGGTAGACGATCCAATCCCTTATTTAAGATGCACATAACAGTAAGTTAAAGGCAACAGAGACAAGCAGACAAGAATTACAACTAAATAATAAAATTCAAACTATCATAGAGTAGGTTATTTAGTTTTTGTGAGCAGAAAATTGTTTGCACCATTGTTTTCAGGTAAAAATTTAAACTTAGTTTCTGGTGAATTACTAGCCTATAAATTAATATAGGTTCCCACAGTCACTCTATTTTGCATGATTTCCAAGGATTGCTTTTAGGCCTAGACAACTTAAAGAGTATAAACTAAGGGTACAGTTTCTTAACTGGGCTACCCTAATATCGATTGAAACTATCAATTCGATTAGTAAACTTTTGTGCGGTTTTTTCAACATCAGCAAGTTTGGTTGGTTAGTTTAGGTTATGATAGTTTAATTTTATAATAGATATATTTTAAAATATTGATTACAGTAGACCCCCTCTTAACCGAGCAATAAGTAGGGCGCGCGCTCTACTTATTGCTGACTTTACCCCCCCCCCCCTATCTTATCCCCCAGGTACATGATATTGATACTGTGTATCCGTTAAAGTGTCCTCTATCTGGTGACATCATCGGTAATATGTTACGCGGCCGTATTTTACCGCAAATCGGCCAGCAATAGATTTTTTCGGGCGTGCGCATTACTTATGGCTGGAGTTATTGCCAGGTTCACACCAATACCACTCGCTTCACAGATAAGTTGGCTTAGGTAAGCCTAATTAAAAATTGTATCCAGTAAACTCTGGCAGGTGATTAAAGAATTAACTTTTAGCCTAGGCCTATGAGAAAAAGTTGCAATTGAGGGCCTCTTTTAAAAAAATTTTTGAACTGCTTATATTGTAAACAATAACCATATTCTTGACTTGTGAAAATCGCTTAGGAGCTTGAGAAGTTGTGGAGTGGAGGTGTTATGAAATCCACCCTTTTTACATGTTATCCAAAAGGGAAGAATAAACAATTATCTATGAAATTTTGCTTACCTGAAGAGAATTTGAATGAGAGATTACACTCTGAAATATTTAATAACAAATGTCAATTGAAGCAAGAGCTTCAAGACGCATAATAATCACTCTTTCAAAACTCAAACAGACGATTGAATGAAACTTGAAACTAGAAAGAAGAAACACAACAAATTTGGCAATCAATTATGACTAAACTGTAATGTCAAACAAACAGAAACAAACAGCACAGAGAGAAGAAGAGAAGAGGTGGTGTTGAGGGAGTACCAACATTAACATTCCAAATTTGAAGTCACTTTACCAAACAGCGATGAATATAATAATACGTCAATACGTGTCATTCAAACGTAATACTGTATCTACAGCTGAATCCAGCCATTGATCAATCTATATACTGTAGTATAATATAATATAAAGAGGGTACTCTATTACCAGATGAGGGTCTAGTATTACATTTAACATTACTCATATTAGTAGATTTGTCATCCTTATGGATCAGCTAAAGCGCTGACGACTGGTTAATAAGCTTTATTTTTTCCGGTACCACTAGGTGCGTGTTTTGGTTAATATTTTCTTTTTTGTCATTTTAGTTATTAAAACATGGTTTTAGCAAATAAAACTATCTAATCATAAACAGTAATCATGACTTTAAACCAAGCTTTAAAATGTACAATGGGATATAGGAATAGATTTAAACATTTTTGTTTTTTCTGCCCCTGAGCTATTAGACTTAATAAATGGTTTTAAGTTACCTTTGTCAGTAGCTCAATACCACGTGATCATGGTGCAACTCAGCATCAAAACCTGGTTGTACTGTTTTAACGACCATTTGAGCTACTGACAAAGGTAACTTAAAACCAGGATATAGGAAGTTGACTTGTCTTGTGTTGGTATGTCTAGTCTACGGTATTTACGTCTCAGATAAATTTGCCAGGGACCACAGGGGTCACAGAACTTTTCCCGAGCTTCAAATGACGATGAATAAATATCTACTTAATACTGTTAATACTGTTCTATGAAATGGCGACCATGCAAAGTAGGTATTTTAAGCCAAGTATGAATGGAGATGAGTGTAGGATGAGTGGCGCGATCTTGTAGTCTTGTTAGTCATTCCTTAGACACAGCTGTTAATTAATAGCCCATACAGCTAAGGGACCCATGGTGGAAGGAAAAAACAGAGGTGTGCTATTCCCACAAATTCTGACGTCACTCGGATTGCAAACAAAAGATCACCTGATTGTAACTGTCAAATTAGTATGCATTTGTTTTGGTTACTTGAGTTACTGCATTAAAATGTTACATTACTAAAATATCTATCAGTCTCAGTGGCTACAGAATTGGAAAATTAAAGTAAATGAAACAAAATCCGTTCAAGTTACATTTACTATGTCTACAAGAACTTGTCCCCCAGTAACATTGAATAATATCATGCTTCCACAATCCAACGAAGTTAAGTACCTTGGTATGCATCTCGACAGACGGCTTACATGGCATTCACACATTTGGAACAAACGACTTCATTTAAATTTAAAAACAAACAAACTAAATTGGCTCATTGGTCGAAATTCAAAATTATCTGTTGAAAATAAATTACTTTTATACAAAATTATATTGAAACCTATTTGGACCTACGGTATCCAACTCTGGGGAACCACTTCCAACTCAAACATAGACATAGTTCAAAGGTTTCAATCGAAAACATTGAGAAAAATTTTACAAGCACCTTGGTTTGTCACAAATAAAGTAATTCATCAAGATACAAAATTACCCTATGTTAAAGAAGAAATAAAGAAACGAAGTGAAAAATACCAAAGAAAATTAGAAACCCATCCAAATTTCCTGGCAGTCAACCTCCTCGACAATAGTGAAGCTACATATAGGCTCAAAAGAGTTAATCCAATAGACCTTCCAAATCGTTTTTAGTTAAACTTTTTAAAAGTTTTTGTATGTTAGTGCACTTGATGGAGTGTAACTAACCCATGTTAAAATGGTTATAAAATTTACTTATTATTCTAGTAAGAATAGATTGTAAATAAATACTTGTTAAAAAAAAAAAATTGTTTTGGTTTGATTGTTATTGTTTTTATAATAATAAAAACAATAACAACCAAATCAAAACAAATACATATACTAATTTGACAGTTACAATCAGGTGATCTTTTGTTTACAATCCGAGTGACGTCAGAATTTGTGGGAATAGCACACCTATGTTTTTTCCTTCCACCATGTAAGGGACCTACAGTTTATAGTGGAATCCGAACCACATTTTTGCCTTGGTAATTACGAATTGGTCTAATTATCAGGATGGTACTGCGGATAGTCGTAGTACTCACACGTGCGGACGTTAATCCACACTGGGGAGTATCACATCCAGTGCATGTCTATAAATATCCACAATCCGTGACCTCCTAGTAGCTGGATTACAGGACGACGCCACCCGTCCCAGTCTTGGGGAGATGTATAATCAATTTTACAATCAATCAATAGGGATGACAAATCTACTAAGGGAGTATGTTAGTATGTTTAATCTATAATTTTAGGAGTATCTAGTATCTAATGGGGTAGAGACCTTGATCTCGGTCAGTATCAAAGTGGGAAATTCATAATCCTTAATACTTTTTAATACTTTACAGTGAAATGGTGACCATACAAAGTAGGTATTTTAAGCCAAGTATGAATGGAGATGAGGGGCGCGATCTGGTAGTCTTGTTAGTGACTTAGTGACTAAGGCCGTAGGCCGACATATTCCTTTAACACAGCTGTTAATTAATAGCCCATACAGCTAATGACAACTTGAACTAAGGGACCTACCATAGTCCTACTAAAATGGAATCCGAAACCCTCACATTGCTTAGGGTGGTACGTTGGTAGTATAATCATAATTTAAAAAGAAACTAGCCTAGTCGGTTCAGTTATTGCTATGTGATCGAGTAACACACACACACCACAATCAGATTTTAGCGAATTTCCCATATAGGGAATAAGCTATTACCGTAGTACTCATGGTAAGACCTGGACCCGGGGCCGATTTACTTTTTTGTTTTGAGGTTCCTAGAGGCCAAAAACACCATCCGTTCAAATTCATATATATATATATATATATATATATATATATATATATATATATATATATATATATATATATATATGTGTCCGTTAGCACGATAACTCGAGCAAAAATGATCCGATTTTGATGAAATTTGGTACAAACGTGTGAACCTACATTTATTCGAACGAGTTCGCTAACCAGCATGATCGGACTAAAATGCGGCAGTGACTATAGGAATTTTATGGGGTAAAAATATGTTTTCCCCATTTTTGACCAAAAAAAAAACACAAAATTGCACATTTCTTTCCAAACCATTTTGTAGAGCTCAAAAGTAACAAATAATTTAGTATATTGAAGCGTTATTATGCGCCTAATGGTTACGGAGAAAATTCCAAAATATTTTAAATTTAAAATTTTCATGTTATTCTCATGGAGAATAAATCAACTAACTGTTGTAGTTTGCTTGTTTATGAACATATTTTGATCGAATTTGGAAAATACATTAATTTTGTACAAAACTATTAACATTTTACATCAAAAAACACTTTTTACCCTCCCTGTTGCAGCAAATCTAAGCACTCGTTAAACTAATTCTATTTAAATAGGGAATACATGTGATATATTTAAGGAGGCATTTAAGCGTAAATCCAATCAGGAAAATATAAATTCGCTTAATCTGCAGGTTTGCTGTGGCGGGGGTATTTTTTATATAATATAGCATAGATCACGACCCTTCCTATGAAAAACTAAAATCATTGACTTTATATAGTCAATAATCAAGGGTAGATATAAAGTCAATGCTAAAATGCTATGATTACAAAACGATTGAAAAGCTTTGAAGCACATGACAAGGCGCTTGCTTTTTATGTTCAAGCCATACTTTTGTTGTCGTCTGCCTTGTTGTCGTATGTCGTGTCGCTGGTTTGCTTATATTGTTGTCATGGCAATGTCGGTCTAAACAAACCACTGAGCTAAAATTATAATGAAACAAACGAACTAAAGTACTAAACGTATCATGGTGACTAAACTAAGTGCTACTGCTAATACAGTAATTAATTAAATTTAATTTAGGTTAACTTGAAAACTTGTGAAGCAGATGAAGTGGTTACAAGTATTACTTTTTGCTTTATTATGACATTCGTTCGGGAAATAGACAATGTGATAAAAAAATAACATCCTCCATTTATTACAACCTTTACTCAACCAAAGACTATATTAATGGGTTGTTTTAAGTAATTGCTGGGTAAAATAGAACATAGCTAATTGCAAAATAGATCATTAAAAATATGATACTTACAGAGGTTAGTAGTTTTTGATAAGTTAACTTATCTAAATCAAATTTGTTTAACAACCTAGGATCAAACATAACACTTACTGCATGAAGAAGTAACTTGTAACATATATTTTTAACATTTTAGTCTTATCAGTTAGCTTTTTAAACATTTTAGGCTTACATTGCTATACTGATAGATTAGCGGTTTCAAAACTTTTTAGTCTGGCAACCCACTTAGATTTTTTCCAAAAATCCTACCTAGGGATCTTGATCGAGGCTAATTCTAAATTCCCTTTTACTTATTTAACATCTTTTAAATTAAGTTCTAAGAATGCAACTGGAAACCGGCTTAGTCTGCGGGTCTACTGCAGCAGGGTATTTATAAATTGTTTTAAGTTAATACTAGGAGACAAAGGACAGGATAAGCAGGCTTACCTTAAAAATTGTAGGCATCCAACTTCACTAAAGTAACACAGTTTTTATATGATTATTCATATAAGAGTAAAGTGACCCATATTTTTATATCGCTCAAAGGAAAGTTTTGTTTCCTTTGTGTTTTTTTTTGTTGTTTTACTTTAATAGTGAATTGGGATGCCTACAATGTTTAAGGTAAGTCTGCTTATCCTGTCCTTTGTCTCTTTAATTCTCAGGCAATAAGCCCTTTCACTTTATGCTTTTGTGAGATAATTTGAAATAATAAAAATATTTGGGGATTATAAATCAATTAGGAACTTCTAGATGTACACCTAACTATAGCCTAACTACAATCAGCTCATTTACTGTGTACAAAGTTAGTTAGGTAGCTGATTTTC